TGTCTGCTGAAATGCCGAAGTGCAAGTCAAAGAAAAAAGTGGCTAAGGACAGGATTGCAAGTTCCTGGAACCTTTTTTAATTTGATCAGGCCTTGAAGTGACCAGCTCTTGCCAGCTGTCGAGTCCGTGTGGACCGTCAAGTTGGCCTTTTCAAAAAGTCCTGACTCAAGTATGAGAAGGAGTCTGAAGCCCCTGACCCGATAGCATAATGTTCCGCTTCTCGCTGCTAAGTGCCACCGTTGCTTACGTGCGGCTATGCGACAGAGAGTTCACACCTAGCACAAAGAGCGCGACGCCTGGGTGCTACGACAGGTGCCGTGACATCCTGCGGAGTCAACATAAGTGTTGATGTGAAGCGCTTTGTGTTTGTGGTGAAGTTTCATGGTTGGCCTCAAGTGTTGAACCAAGCGCTTTGTGCCAGTACCTACCTGGGTGTCGCAACCCAGGCCATTGGTCTGTTGTTGGCGCGTTTTAAAAGTCCACGTGAAAGTTCCTTCACCGCGTACATGAGGTCACACTTCCAGTCTCCGGTACTGCTGCACTTTGGATTTCAACGTGTCTCTGCCTGGTGTATGTGCAGGTTTCGCATTCTCAAGTTCAAGCTCCTTCAACAAGTTCTGTGTCAGGCATGTAAAGCCCAAACGAGCCAACTCGTCTGCCCAGAGAAGTGACTTCTTTGCCATCGTGAGGTGGCCAGTTATCTTCAGGATCAAGTCCTTACAAGTCACTCATGGCAGTCTGAACATCCGGCCGTGACTCACCGTGACCCCAAGAACATCAAGTCATCAACATGACACAAGATATGAAGTCGCTTGTGCTTGTGCACGTACAAGTTAGGGTCGCTCTTCATTCTTCGGAAGTTGTTCTTTTCCACGACTGAGGCGAAGTGGTCTTGTCAAAGTCGTGGAGCGTTTCTCAACCCGTAAAGCGCACGCTTATAAGTTTCCACACCACGTCTCCTGCAGGGTTAATAAAGCTCACTCGGAGGAATCACGCGGGTGTCCTCTCCAGTGAGAAGTGCGTGAAGAAAAGCTGTGGAAATGTCACCGCAAGCGACAGTCCAGCTGAACGATGCAGCAAGCGTCAACAGCAACTTCAGCGTCACAAGTGAAGGTGTGCTCGCAGACGTATCATCAAAGTCGTCATCTTTCTGACCAAACCCACGTACGACAAGTCTGCAACGGGCACTGCCGTCCGGTTTTCGAGTCTTGACCCACTTCGTGGACGTTGTCAAGTTGCTCTTGGGTAAGTTGATCAACACACTCTTCACAGAACACGTCAAAGTCCAACATCGAGTGCATTTCACGTCCAGGTCGCCGCTCAAACTCCGTGTCATACCACAAGTACAGATTCTCAAGCGTCTTCATCAGCATAAGTTCGGACTCATCCTGGTTCAACAACAGGCACTTCGAGCAGGTCCTTTGTGGTGCAGCTGAGACCCGAAAGTCGTAAAGAGGCATACGCTGGTCCGCAAGTTGAGGGTGCGCAAATGCTGACACACGCTGAATCTTGCTGCCTTGCTCAGGCACCGCTTCTTCGACTGAAGTACGCTTGCGCTCCGACGCAGAATCAGGATCAAGTCTCCGACGCGGAGGTTGAGGGGATCTGAAAGTCTCCTCGCCTGGTTTCTCAAGCGGTCGGCGTGTTCCAGAAGACGCTGCGCCTGCAGTCAAGTCTCCGGAGTTGCCAACACGTGCAGTCTGAAGTTCCGCCTCAGGAACGTCATCCTTTGCCAAGTCAGTGTCTGCGGGCGCTGCGGCCTTCGCCCCCTCGGACAAAAGTTCCGGAGGTTCTGCGGCTGAAGAGGAAGTACGAAGCGATCCGTTTCGACCGAAGTTCCACTCAAGTCCCAAGGTCTTGCGCGAACGCCTTTCAGACGTTCCATGTCAACCTGAAGCGAAGGTGAAAGTCGCCCTACTGCGCGCGTCTTAAACACGCCAGAACTGTCAGCGCGCTGACCTTGTACCTTAACTTCAACTCAAGCCTGAGAGCACTATAGCCTGAGCGTACAAAGTGGCCTGCGCATTCCCGATGGAGCCTTGAGCTTGCTTCCATCCTGTGGGTGAAGCGCGTATGGTCAAACCACCAAGCTCAGAAGTCACCGTCTCAGCAAGTCTGAGAGCTGGCTCTGGGTCGCACTGGAGCACTCCGCAAGTGCGTCCAACCTCATCATGAAACGTCAAAGTTCAGCCTGAGCGTAAGTCCCAAGCCAGACAACACAGCAAGCGCATCCAACAAAGTGATCTGCAAGCCTCCAGCTTCATCCGACAAGAACAAGAAGCCAAGCTGCATCACGGGCTGTTTCAAGGACAAAGTCCGCGACTGGTTTTGCCGGGATTTTGCCTGAACGCGCGCAGGACACCATGATCGACATGACAAGTGCGTCAAGCGGTGTTCCTGGCGTTCCAAGTCAGTTGGTTCCGGAAGTCCTCTAGGCCGTTGCAGCAAGTCACCAGTGTTCTCAGGTTCTGCTTCAAGTGGAAAGCCAGGTTTCTCAAACAGTGTGCCACCAGTGAACGCAAAGCCACCAGGCTGCGAGCCTGCTGCGCGACAAGTGTCTTCCAACCGAGTTACGTTGCCGTCGACGTCAACTCTCGAAGTCATGCGTCCGACAGCAAGTCCTCTAACGAATTGTTCGTCCTCTGGAACGAACAAAGCGTTCCGTGAAACGTAGTGAATCCGCAGCCACACAAGTGAAAGTTCCCACCACATGTCATGGTCGTTCGTTTGGTTGGTCAGTGGATCAACCTGACGAAGTTGCTCCAGGATTGTAGTCTGGTAGGCCTCCAAAGTACCTCCAGCAGCCTGGCGCAAGCGCTCACGACAAGTTCCCTGCACTTGCGCTGGCGCTAGTCCCGCGCCAGTGGCCGTGGCGCCTCCGAGGACTCTTCCACTCGATGAGGCTCTGGGTTAGGTGCGGCCTTTGGCTCCGGCAAAGTGGACTGCTTTCCAACAAGTCAGTGGGCTTGGAGTTAAGTTTGAACACCGTCTTGCTGACAAAAGGTTTGTCAAGTTTGCCGCGCGGGTCCTCCGCCGTCCGCCAGTCGTGCCATCTTCATACTCCAAGTAAGTGACTCGGTCTCCTGCCAACTCAGAAGTGGCAACGTACAGGCCGGTCCTTTGTCCCTCTGGAGTGAACAAAGTCTTCCTTGCTCTCTTGCGCACTCTCACCAAAGTGTTCCCCTCAATTACCCATCTATCAATGTGGTAATGTGTGGTGATAGACAGGATGAAAAGTTGGGGCAACCAAGCGGGAGCTGCTTTCTTCGTGAGAAGTGTTGCAAACTTCTTCAAACTCCAAGACCTTAGGCCGAAGGAACAGAAGTGATCCATGTCGCGCGACTCCCATCTTAGTGCCTCCTGGTGCCAAAGTAAGGCTGGTCATTCCCAAGTTCGGCACTGTAGCCTTGCATCAGAAGTCTGGCTACTGAGCGCGCTGCATGGGGAACATCACAGACATAAAAGTGCAGCCGACAGGAACGACCATCAAGCTCAAACTGTACAAGCTTCCCACCATAGATCAGAAGTGTTGTCCTGAAAAGGGTTTGAGTGGTCGTGCGCGTCCAGAAAGTGGCAAATTCGGCCACTCGCAAAGCCCTTTGGACAGCGATGGGCAGCTTCACCTGAATCAAAAAGTATCCAGGGCTCTGTGTCCTGCCACACTGCTGATGCAAGTTGTTCTTGCAAGTACGCATCGTGAAACTCAGTATTCACATCCAAGTTCAAGTTTTCAAGTTTCGTCAAAGTGGCATGTCGTGAAACAGCAGGTCCGTCAAGTGCGAAAGTCTCAAGTGGTGCAACCGGCAAGCCAACCGACGTCTCCAACAAGTTGCCATACGAACAAGTTCGACCAAGCAGACAAAGCGGCAAACAACCTTTCAAGTCAAAGCCAACCAAGCCAGTCATCATGTCTTCAGTCTTGACACTTCCACATCCAAGTTCAAAGAAACTCCCAGTGCCAAAGCTTCCAAGCATGATGGCCGCCAACTTACAGTGGAAGCCCCAGATGCTTTTGGAGCAGGCTTAGCCTTAGGTGGACTCGCAGTGATCGCAGCAACTCCAAGTGAGACAGAAGACGAGCTCCAGAAAAGCACTTTGGCAAGTTCTTTGCTGCATCACCACTATCCGAAGTGGGCATCATGCCACAACGCGTCATCTTCCCAAAGTGCATTCACGCCCAAGTGTCCCAAACAACCCAAGGGTCCCGGAACACGGCGTCGTCGAAGTACCCAAAGCTCTCCGATTCCTCTGCCAACCAGGACTGAAGTGTTTCAAATTCTTCAAGTGGGTTCACTCTCCTGTTAGGACACGTGTTGGACACATGTCCAGCAAAGTTGGGAACTTTGCCGTTTTTTTTTTCGAAGTCCTTTCCTTCACATGTTTTGCCCTTTGCTTTTGCTTGAAAGTCCCAGCGGAGTCCCTTGCCTTTGCCTTTGACCTTGCCTGCCTTTGCCTTTCTGCCAAAGTGAGCTTCCTTTGCCCTTGCCTTTCTTCCAAAGTGCTCCAATATGCATTGGTGCTGGCCTGTTGTTGTTGTTGTTGCTGCTGCTGCTGCTGTTGTTGTTGTTCGAAGTGAGCATGTGTTGCGAGCGAAAGTACTCCGCTATGACGTCTTTGGTTGGTGCATAGGTATTAAGTGACCTTGCATTTAGTCGTAAGTGCTGCTGCAAAGCTCCGGTGGTCTTATTCAGCAAAGTCGCCACTAACACTATCGGGAGGTTCAGCTCCAATCTGTCGCTCATACTTGACTAAAGTCAGCTTCAAAAGATGCTGGGTTAAGCTTGAAGTCTAAGAGCTGAGGTAAAAGAGACATGCCCTGTGGCATCTGGCAGTGCAAACTTGTGGTAAAGCCGCCTCCAAGTCTCAGAGCCGTTGCTGTCAGTGTTCTGCCTCACGACAAGCCGTCGCAGTGTCTGTAGTGAGGTTTGCCAACAAACAGTGCAGCTTTCGGCTGAAAGTCACTGCCTTCCAAGATGCCTGAACGTCTGGATCTCCAGTGT